CAATAAAATCCCCATTACGCCGACCACTAATAGCAAGGAAATAACATTTATATGTAAATTACGGTTCAAGAAATATCATTTTAGAATAATTGATTTTTTATCTTCATCAACAATAAATGGATAATGAGCTTAGGTAAGATTGAGGCGAATTAATGGAAAAACAGCAATGCGTCCTCCACTCAGGCTGCGACTAGGGTGTTCAGCAATACTTTTTATTTATTCTACCTATTTGTACGCTTTACCATTTTTATCAATTTTAAACAGCATTAAATTTTAGGTTTTAATGTTTTCATTAAAAATCTCCAGTATTTCATTTCATCAGAGCTCAATTTCCTAACGTCCCAATCACGAGACGCTCTCACAAACGAGCGATAAGCTGAAAGAGGCATCTCTTGAGTAGCAAGCCTTGTTACCATAGGAACGTCCATTGCGCTCTTTCGAAGCGGCGCCTTCATATTATTACTTCCTCGTGCAGCTTTTGATGAGGCAGCAAAACACAGGCGTCGGCCTACTAGCATGGAGCATGCGCGCGAGGCTCTCGGCATCTGACATCCACTCCGCGTAGGTGTAAGGGTGCATATCCGCCCTCACGTATCCCGGGGTCGGCCTAGCCGACTGGGTACTTCGAATCCATTTCTTCTCCCATTTCGTAAGAAATAACAACAACCCAGTCCCAGTGGCGCAGTCCAACCCTTTTGCTTATTTCCCTCTTCATTCCCCGTTCCGAACTCACGAGATTCACTTGAACCGCGCGAGAATTTAGTGCGTAATAAACGAGAATGGAATTCCCTCAATCCTTTTCCTTTCGGCTTGGGTTGGAATCTCGCCACCTCCATTTTCCGCCCTGCATTCTTATTTTCTCGATTTGTTAATAAATCCCTTTTGTTGCGTGTTTCGCGGTTGAAAAAGAATCCAGATGAGTGCCCGTGCACTCGTGAAAATGCACGTGCTGTTTAAATATGTATATCGAGATGTTATTTCAGTTATTTTTCAGATAGTTCTTGAATATATATTTTTTACCGCATGTTTGTAGCCTCGTGGCTTTCATGGAAAATTAAAACTTGACGCCGTGCAAAATTATAAGAAAAATATGGCAACAAATTCGCGTTGATGTTTACTATGAACATTTTTTTAAAATGAAGAATGAAAAATAAATTTAAAAAAATACTCTGTACTGGCGTACTTTCCGCTGTTTTGAGTCACGTTTGTCGCTGAGAGAATCGTTTCACCCCGTTCTCTTCCCTTTGTAAGCTTCGTCATGCCGAGAAGCAGTCAGTACTGCGCAAGGGGCGTCTTGATGAATTTCGGCCTTTCCGAAAGAGAGAAAGACGGTCGGTCCACCTTCCGCGAATTTACGAAGTGCAATTCCTCGAGCCGATTGCAAAGTCTGTCCGACGTGATTTCGCTGAGAGAGCGGGAAAGGGCCGTCTCTGTCGCGCTTCTCCCGTTCGACGTGGAACCTGGGGTCAAAATATTCCGAAAGGTGTAAAAGCCTTCTCCTTTAATTAATTAAATATTTTAATTAAATATTCCTTGATTAAATATTCGGAAGAAAGAGGCGGAAGAGGAGGAAATGTCCGAGGAAAGAAGCGGAAGCGTGGTAGTTGAGAGAAAATTCGTGGCTTTTCAGCCGTGGAGAAACTGAAAAACATTCTGCTGGGGGGAAAAGGGTTCGTTGAAAAAGCAAAAAGATGAGGAAGACTTGAAGGAAGGCTCGAAGTTCTGCCGAATGTGCTGATTATTCGCACTTCTCAGATGGCCGACTCACGAAATGCCTTAGGACGTTCTTCTGAGATCGTTTTCTTGGAAAAATTCTTCGAACCGTGCCGTGCTGTCCTGTTTCTTATTTTCTTTCCCTATCCAGAACTTCGAGCGTTGGTAGCGTGACGGAAATTAAAGGATGTCTAATTAGGAGAGGTTGTTATATGGGGAAAGTTCAGCATATAACTCCTGCGAAAAAAAAAAACATCTCGAATTCCATAGAAAATCGCCCCTTCGTCGAATGGCTTTGTTGGCGCTCTAGTACCCTAGCGACTGAAAATTTTGCTGAAAATTTTCACCCCGATTTCTTTGACATCCTAAGATTTCTAATTTTAAAAGACAAATTTGCTTCGACCTACCTCTCTCCTTATTTCTGAAAAAAATCTAATTATACAATAAGGTATAAAAAATTGGCCCATTACCCAGGAAAAATGTCCTATTGATTCTCTAAAGATATTATATTGGATCGTTAAGAGTTCTATCGCATTACTGTGTGCGAATTCTATGGGGATTTTGGGCCACCCTGTATATGATTTTTTTTTACTCATGTACACAAGCGCTTCTACGCATGCAAATATACACCTCCTCATTCCTCAGTGCTAAAGCAATTTTTGTAAAAAATTTCGAAAACCTTCCCTTTTTCCTAACTCGGAGAGGAAAGTTGCATTTCTCGACCGGAAATTTAAAATATATATATATTTTCGAGAAAACCATCGGAACCTGAGCGTCATCTATCTTCTCTCCTGGAAACCCTGTTGTCTTGAATAAATGCCAGGTGGCGGTGGCGAAACTCGATCATACCGCAGCTGGGGCCGTGCCAATTATCGCAATACTTTAATTTTGGAAATAATAATTTTTTTATTTTTGCTCCTCCGCTGCCGCGGGAGAGGGGAAACGGGTCACACGAACAATAACAATATTGCCGTTAGCAATAACAATATTGCCGTTAGCAATAACGGCACGGGACGATGCAAGAAGAGTCCGTCGACGAAATCCGATGAGATGAGGAAGGGAGTTAGAGGATAAGGATAATCTGAGGACTGCAATCCTCCTTTTATTTATCCTGGAAGATTTCCTCGAGGCCGACGGAATTCGAATTTCGGTCAGAGCCGCGGGTTCGAAATCGGCGATTTTCGTTCGATCTGGCATCGATGAAGCGGCGGCGACTCTCTTCGCGATTTTGGGACTCTTCCGTTATGTCGTGCATTCGCGATCGTGTATTCGCGATTTTTAAATCCTGTAAGTTCTAATCTCATGGTTCTAATCTCAAGGATAAGCATTTTTCTTACCCTCGTCGATGTTCATCAAGTGGAAGCCATCGAGGAAAAAAATCTTCACTTATAGAGCTTCCGTAGAGTTTTCAATGTCGGTCCATAGAATTCAATGGACGACGCGTTGCAGCCTGATAGAGTTCTATACGGATTGCAAGGGGTGAGGAACCGCACAAGCGGGGAGGACACCGCCGCGTGGGTACTCCTGAGTACTGCTGAGTACTGCTCAGTGGTGGCCGGTGGGCGGAGATGCAGCGAATCGGAAACGTGCAGAAACACGTTTAAAACATGCAGAAACACGTTTAAAACGTGCAGAAACACGTTTAAAACGTGTAGAGACGCAGCCGGTGCGAGGAGAAATTAATCGGCCCCACCGCTTATTCCCCTTGCGAGTTTCGGGACTGCGAAGCTAAAACCGGCATCTGGTTCGCCGGTCCAAACGCGATGATAGGGGATGCACTATCTTCCGTCCCTTCCGCGTTCGTGAAAGCCGCAGGGATGCAAATCGGCAGTGCAGATCAGGACGAGCGAGCGGCTTTCTAAATTCGGGAAAGGAACCTCGAGACATGCCCACACTCGCCTGCAGTCGCCCGTCCGTGCGCATCGCAACCGGTGAGACCGGCCTCCGCGCTCTCGCGTGCGCTGCGGTCTGTGCGTGTGTGCGTGTGTGCGGATCGCGTGCGCTGCGTTCGTTCTCTCGGCCATCGCCCACGAGCCGGGGGAGGCCTCGAGCCTCAGGCTCTCCCAGATGGGAGGCTTCGAGCCTCTGGCCCTCCCAGCCCGAGAGAGACGTTTAGGTTCGTTCAGTTTCTCGCATCCCGATGTAAGAGGAGTGATCGAAATTTCCGAAAATGACATTTTTAATGACGCTATTGTGACTCTTTCCGGCTGCTGATGGTTATATCTTTGAAACAAGTCCTCTTGGGGATCTGCACAAAAGTTCCGGTGTTTCTTCAGCCGCTGGAAACATTGCCGACGCTTGTCTTTTGGAATCACCAGCAGTGCTCGCGTCGTGTTTGCAATTTTGCTCTGAATGTCTGAAATCTTCTTCATTTCAGGAAACTCTTTAGTTTTGGGAACGAGAAGAAACTGCCAGGAGCTAAGTCCGGCGAGTCGGATGGCCTGTGAAGCACGGGGATCAGGATAGGTCAGAAACCGCTGAAAATGAAAAAAGGAAGGAAATTTAGCAGTCCTAGCAATTTCCTAGCAATTTAGGAAATTTAGTCCAAAGCAGCGTTACGAATGCGTCACCAGAAAATTTGTGCAGATGCCGAAAATTTGAAAGACGGAACCATCAGCTGTCGGAAAGTGCCACCACGGCGTCATAAAAAAAATCCAGTCCCGGAACCTATCGATCACCCCTCGTACATGTTTATTTTACAGTTTATTTGCGGCTCTTTAAAATTGCACCGCTGAAGATGGAACGAGGATCCCCCACGAGGATTTCCTGCAGTTCGCTGATGCTTTCACAAGTTCATCAGGAATTCATCAGATACGAGCCTTCTAAAAGGCTCTTCACATTTGGTAAAATTCCAGGTGACCTTTATTCAAGGTCAAATTGAAGAAAAAAGGATATCTTTAATTCCTTATATTTTCCTTTGGGAACACTGTTTGCATCAACTTTTTTTTCCCATAGAAATTTGATGGGATTTCAATCGATTATTTGTACACTAACGACAGAAATTCATGAAATTCAAGATATATACCTGAATTTGCATTTTATTACATTGTTTATTACATGTACATTTGTTTAACACTGTTTAATCTCGTAAGTGCTCGAAATGTCTTCCATCAACGTTGCAGCATTCCTCGAACCTGTCCAGAACACTGTGACATATACCTACTTTGTGTATACCTACTTTTGGGCCACCCTGTATATAGTAATAATATAATAAGTGGATTCCGCTTAATTGGGCCATCGGTTAATGGGAGCAGCCGGTTTATCGGGACATTTTGTCAGGAACTGAATCATTCCTGTGGAAGTGCATTCAGATTTCGTTGCATATTCGGGACGAAAATCCGCTTTTTTGGGGCAAGGTCGGGGTTGGGGTTGGGGTTGGGGTTGGGGTTGGGGTTGGGGTTGGGGTTGGGGGTTTGGGTGATGACGCAGAGGAGGAGCCTGAGAACGCTTACTTCATTGAGCAAGGGATGAGCGATACAAATTCCTTCAATCATAACTCTTGTTTTTTTTTCGTAAATGAAGGGCATTTCTGTTTGGGTTTCTCATTATTCTTTACTATGAGGCGACTTTGCTTAGTTGGGGCAGCCGCTTAATTGGGGCAAAACGACCTGGAACCAAAGTGTCCCAATAAAGCGGAATCCACTGTATAATATAAATAATGTACAATATAAATAATATATAATACAAATAATATATCATACAAATAATATATCATACAAATAATATATCATACAAATAATATATCATACAAATAATATATCATACAAATAATATATAATATAAATCTCATTTATTTAACTCTGGTTTGCAAAATTGTGCCTTCATATGGTAGGTTGAAAGAGGTATTTCTCGATTAAGAAAATGTTTCCCTCTGCAAGAGGGATTTCCGTTGGGATCATTCTAGTCGATTCCTTTTTTTTTCTTACCGCTTTTTCGGCTTTTGATTGGGTGAAGAAGCATCGGCGACGACCTGCGATTTGTGCCGGTTGACCAGGCGGAAAAAAGAATGAAATTCTCGAGGTCGGCGGGGATGTCGAAGGGATGGTTTTTTTGCCGGAATTTTGCATTATTGCCTACAGCTGGGGTCGGCAAGCGAATTTCGCGGGAGGGGGGGGATGCTCCATTTTTTGCAATTTTGCATTCGAGTGTCATAGAAGCCTCCGGGCTTCCGGAATTTTGTTCGGATTTTTCCTTCACTCGTAAAAGGCAAAAAACCCAATCCATCGTTCCCAGAAACGGCCTGAAACCCGACATCCACAGGATGCCTCCAGACATCCACTCCCCTGTGGTGTGGGGACAAGGACGCGCGCATCCTCCTCCCTTCCTCGGAGTCGGCCCAGCCGACTGGTCCTCGGGGTCGGCCCAGCCGACTGGGAACTTCCTAGCTTCCAAATTCCGATATCAATGAAACCTCAGCAAGGCCTCCTATTTTCTTCCTCTGCCTATTCCGAACTCATATCATCTATTTGCTGCAGAGATGGACGAGCGCGTAATCAAAGACGGTGGAAGTCATTGAATCCCATTTCCGGCTTGGGTTCGAATCTCGCCTCCTTTTTTCGCCTGAATTTATTTCCCCAAATGAGAAACATCATTCATTTCAGTTTCCTACCGGTAAATATGAGTGGAGCCAGTGTCCGTTGACTACCTCCAGGAGCGGAAAGAGCAACAAAAATGACTTCCAGCATATTTGAGCATGTAAATCGACCTATTTTTTATTTTCCGAATTTCATTATTATTTATTATTTAGATTCACCGCATATTTATTATATAAATTCACCGCATATCTGGTCATCAAAGAAAGAAAATATTCACTCACTGACCGAGCAAAGGCCTTCAAGGTCACGAAGGTCATCGGGGCACCCCAAGGCGAATACGACCCCGTCACCCGACACGACTCAGTCTTCGGAGAAACTAGAAAATAGGTCCAACTTCACCCGTCCCACACCAGATGTCTCTGGCAGCGCGAGAGAACAGGCGCAGGCCAATTAGAAATCTCGAGAGAAAAAAAATCGGGGGAATGTCAATAGGGCATGGAGGAAGGGAGACCCGGATTTGCCCCTAAATTTTTATCGTTCCCCCCTGATTTGCCCCTAAATTTTTATCGTTCCCCCTGATTTGCCCCTAAATTTTTATCTTTCCCAATACCTTTCAATAAGGAAGAAAAAATACCGCATTATTTGTCACTCAATCGCAGATATTTCAGGTCAAGCTCTCTCCGCAATACCAGAGGGCGACAGCAATTCGTGATGACTCATGATTTAATGATAATTTCATGAGCGATGAGAACGAATCACGAAAAGGCGATTGCTTGAGCAAATTGCAACTTCTTAAGCAATTCCTCAAGAAATTGCACTTCGTGCGGAAAAAAAGAAAACTCGATCAAGATCCAGCCATATATTGTGATAACATCATTAAACCTTCTCGAACAAGAAAAAAAAAATAAATCACCAAAAATAAATCACCAAGAATAAATCACCAAACCTTGCACTTCCTGGAAGGATTCATCGGCGATCCCCTTCGGCAATTGAATTCCCGGCGGAAGTCATCGCTATTCTTCAGCGCCGCGACGACTCGAATCCTCTTCGGCGAATGCTTGTCGAAAAGTGCTTCCACCGCCTCCACCGAGCACAGAGCCTGCAAAATATCGCGGAATGCTCCGAAAATTTGGCAATCGCCGCGTTATTCAAAATTTTTGCGGATTGCTTCCTCGTCGCTTCCACATTTGCGCGTTGAGAATCGATTTAAATTGGCAAAGGGCCCGAACTCTCTCCGGTAAATATCCAGAGACTGGATCTCGTCTATCCGGCGCCTCAGGGCAGCACTAAGCGCGACGACTCGTTTCTGCAAGGCCAACGGAACCTCGGTAAAAATCGGAAATGACCTGTTTCGGAAATGACCTGTTTCGACTGGGACGACCTTCACCGATTTCAATTTTCCGGTTGAGATAGAAACGTCGGGAATGTAATTTCAAATATAATTTTTTGTACTTTTTTCATAATAATACTGTAAATAATGTAAGCCGACGGTAAGTGAAACTGTGGGTCGACTCAAGAAAATGACGGAGGGCCAATTGGTCCTCCATTCCTTGGAGATGTCAATTGGCTCTTTTTCCGAGGAAAATGTGGGTCGAGGAAATTAATTCCGGACAACAAAATTGGAAGGAAGGAATATATTTGACACCGGTCCGAAATTTATGCTAATCCAGTCAGCACGCACAAAATGAATGAATATTCGCCAAGGTCACGAAGGTCATGACCTTGTCCGACTTTTTCCCTCGTAGACGAAGCTGATATCGCTTCGTGAATGGTTCTCCGCCATTTTAGACTATAGGGCTGAAAATTGCTGAAAAATGATGGAAATTTGCTGAAATTTGCTGGAAATTTGCTGAAATCTCGCTCTTTCTCTTTGGAGAGAAAAAAAAATAGGAATAAAGAATCCGGAAGACACAGATGAAAACGGGGATAACGCGAGGAGAAATGCAATTCTCTTTGCCTCTCCTCGTCCAGGCCTCCCGTGTCAAAATAAACGCCGGCGTTTGTGTTGCTCCTGCGATTTCCAGGAGTTTTCGGCCGAGTGTTTTCGTCAGGTGGCACGAAGTTTACTCTCGTGCTCGGCCTTCGCTCTGAGATTCGACACTGTTCGTGGGGCGCTTGAATGCACTGGGGCTTCGTGGGTCGAAAGGGGCCGCTTCGACCCACGGGCCGCCATCTTTGCTTTGCCCCTTCTTTTCCCGACCAAATTACTGCTCAATACTTTTGCAAAATAATTTCGAAAAAAAAATTATCAAATATTGCGCAGAAAGGTATTTTAAATGCCACTCAGATGAGCTAATTGGTACCAATTAGCAGATTGACTAATTGACCCACCGACCTCGAATTAACCAGTCCCGAATTAACTCGAAAATGAAGGAAAAAATACCTGCGCGTATCCGACGAAGAACATCTGCCGAGAAGTGAATTTGAAGCCATCTCGCGACCGCCGCGACCGCCGCGGTCGCCGCGACAGCCACGCGTCGAACGCCGCGTACGCCGCCTTCAGTCCCCCGCTATCCGCCAAGTTCTCATCTGCCAATACAAATAAAACCGTCACCGGACTCGCGCGTGACGTCACCGTCGCTCACGTCACGCACTCAGCGCCTGCGTCCCGTCGACCCCGAAATTCGCGAATTCGCGGGCGAAGCACTCGGCGCGCCTGTCGAATCGCCGCGCGTCGGCGTCGCTCCACCACGCGTTCATGTTCCCGTCCTTGTCGTATTCCCGGCCTGGAAAGTCGAAGATCATTCCTTAATCCTGATCCTTCGTCGTAATCCCTAATCCAGAACCTTTCCCCATTGACTCTGGCTGATTAACTGCTCAGGTTAAAGTTAATAAAACCCCTCAAATTTAATTAATTGCGCACTTTTTGGCAAGATGAAACTAACCCTGGCCTTGAACCGCGTGCGCGAGCTCGTGCCCCATGACCACGCCGATTCCGCCGTAATTCGCGGCCGCTGGCGAATCCGGCGAAAAGAACGGAGGCTGCAGTATCCCGGCAGGGATAACCACCTGGTTCAAATCCAGGGCGTAGTAGGCGTTCACTGTCGATGGAGGCATGTGCCACCTGTGAGACGGAGAACGTGAGAAACAACAAGATGAGGTGGATAAGGTGTGGTGGATGAGATGTGGTGGATAAGGTGTGGTGGATGAGATGTGGTGGATAAGGCGTGGTGGATGAGATGTGGTGGATAAGGCGTGGTGGATGAGATGTGGTGGATAAGGTGTGGTGGATGAGATGTGGTGGATAAGGTGTGGTGGATGAGATGTGGTGGATAAGGTGTGGTGGATGAGATGTGGTGGATAAGGTGTGGTGGATGAGATGTGGTGGATAAGGTGTGGTGGATAAGGTGTGGCTGAGGTGTGGTGGATGAGGGTCTCACTGGGTGCGGTCGATTTGTTTGTTGAGGTTTTCGAGGGTGTTTCGAAGCGCCCGTTGCTTCATGAGGATGGCGTTTCTCAAGTATGCGTCTGGCTTCAGGTTCACGCCGTCGTACATCTCGCTCAGTTTCGCGGAGTCCAGGATGAAATCGGGATGGCCTGGGGGCAAGATGTTCATGGAGAAGGCAATGGCCGGATTTTTTAATTATAATTTGCGTATTTATGTGGCATTTTATTGCATTTTTTTTATTATTATCGTGGCTTCGATGCCGGTTGGTTTTTGTGCGTGCCGGACTTCTTTGGAACTCGGAACGGTGTCGTTGCCGATTCCGCTCGGAGATGATTTCGCCAGTCGCGGATGAAACGGGTGAAAATTTTCGCGAATTTTTCTCGCCATTTTCCCGTCGAGAAGGCAGGGCTACTCTCGGAGAAATCGCCAAAACGTGAGAAAGAAAAATACGGCGAGAATACCAGTGCCAACGTATCAAGGAAAGGTGAGATCGGTCTTCCAGTCAAAAACATTATGCTGGATTAAGCTGGATGAAGCTGGATTAAGTTGGATTAAGCTGGATTAAGCTGGATTAAGTTGGATTAAGCTGGATTAAGCTACAAGAGCCAGCTGCGACGGTCGCTTCTCTTCCCGAAAATTTCTGGTTGCCGTGCGCGCCTGTTTAATTTCAATATTGTGCGGGTACCAACGGAAGATGCGATGAAGCTCCGACTGCATTGGCGAAGCTGGAGGCCAATATCGGCCAATATCGGCCAATAGGCGGCCAATAGTGGCCTTCACCATCCATAGTGAAACAAGTGAGCGCAATTGGATTCAACATTTCAACAGTTCAAATCAAGGTCGAAATCCTTTCCCGAGTGAGGAATCAACGTCATGAAAATTTAACAATTTCAAAATTTAACAATTTCTGATAAAGGACCGTCGAAAAAAAAGGACTAAATTTTTTGAATCTGCATCCGAAACAAGGATCGGCGAAACTATTTCCGTCGCACCAAAAATTTTTCGAAAATTTCCATTTCGAAATTCCGACGACGTTCAGAGATCCAAATCAGTCTCCTCGCGCCCCCGAAATCAATTCAGCATTTAAAAAAATGAATTCGGTATTTAAAAAAAATATTGATGGGAAGCCTGTCCTTCGCTGACCGATCAGGAAGGTCGTGGCGTTGGTCTTGACCACGGCGGCGTGCCGGGTCTTCTTTTCCATCCACGACAAGGTCACCAGGTTCCTCGCGAAGGCCTCCTTCACCTCCATCATCATCTCCTCGGCCTCCAAAGGAGTCGATAGTGGATGAATTCCCCTCGAGAGCAATGCTAGCATCCATCAAGAATTGCTTGATGGATGCTAGCATTGCTCTCGAGTTTTTCAAGTGAATTTTTGAAAATTACTTCGATTCGCCTTAAAGTTATTCATAACAATTTTTATTATTAAGAGCGGTAAATTCATTTTAATCTGATCAACCATCTGTAATGGAATTTCTGTCCTGTTTTATTTTAATAATAATATTTAATATAAGTATGACATCACCCCGAACCCAGCCTCACCTGGACCTTGCCCTCGAACCGATCCTTGACGAAGAGCGCCCCCGCGACATCCCCGAAGGCCTCGGTGGCGTCGGCCACGCAGTCCTCCCACCTGCTCGCCTCCCACCTGCTCGCCTCCCGTCTCCCACCCACGAGGTCCTTCAGGCCGACGTCGGCGGCGTCTCGGAACGATCGCGACAGGAAGGGGATCGTCGGCCTCACGGCGTGCCACATCATGTAGTTTCCCAGCACACTATTAAATAGAAACTCAAACTTCAAAGAAAACGTCTGCAAATTTCCTACGATTTAATCGATCCACCTTGACTCGATTGCAAACCAAAGTTTGACTAAAATTTGGTTTGCAATTTTAAGTTACTTTTTAAATTACAATTTTAAGTTACTTTTTAAATTACAATTTTAAGTTACTTTTTAAATTACAATTTTAAGTTACTTTTTAAATTACAATTTTAAGTTACTTTTTAAATTACAATTTTAAGTTACTTTTTCTTCTCTCAAGTTTCTTCTCCTTTCCATGGGGATTCGCATTTGACATTTCACATTGAAATAGGCTCCTAACTTCAAGGAACCTTTGTTTACATACCTGATCTCGCATTTAAGATGCAATCCTATCAAGGAACGTCAAGGTCAAGGACAAGGTCAAGTGATACTCCGTCTGAATCACACACACACGTCGCCCTGACAAGTTTTGTAGTCGATGGAGAAGCGATGAAGCAAGGTCAAATTTTCTTTGGAAAATTTGAAATCTTGGGAAATGTTGGAAATTGCAAGGGACGAAACCTTTTCTGCTCAATTATATTACAGAATCACCCATACAAAACGTTACCCCCTCGTTCACCTATATTTAACCGCTTTTTCACTTTTTGAGAGTGGGGGGGGGAAAGACTTCAGATCTTCAGAAAAGACTCAAAGGTGAAATTCCGGTAAACCCAGAGGTTCGTTCCCCCTCGCACCTTCGCGCTCGTCTTCGTTATCCTTGCGAGACGCGTTTGAACATTGCAATTCCCCATGTCGCTAGGTAGCCGTCTGCGAGTCGGTCTCAGTCCCGGTGTCAGTGCTTCGGCTCTTTCTGAGCTTATCTCAGCGTCTGTGAACTTTCGACTGTTTGACTATTATTTCGGCCCGATGCGATTCTCCCGTGTAAGACATGCTTTTATGCTTAGCATATTCTCAGAGTTATTGTTACCCCTATCATATAAGACAGGGGTGTCAAACCCAGATCTGTTGGCAGGCCGCATTCCCTACCCGGCAGATGCATGCCGGCCGTACCCATAATTTTTCACCGGAATCTGTGCCGACAGTCAATCCAAGCGGAAATTTCATGAACAGACGGCGGGCCGTATGTTTGATACCCCTGATATAAGGCGAGAATTGCATCAGAGTATTCTTGAAAGAAAAGGTAAGTCTGGGGTGAGGGATGCCCTGTAGGTAACAAAAGGTAAATTAGGGGGTAGAGGTAAAACATTGTGGTAAAACTGCGGTAAATGAGAGGGGAACAGAAAAAATTCGGACGGTGAAACAGGTAAAAAAATTTTGTAAGGGCAGTCACGAGTCACATGCAGTTTTCCATGTGCTAGTCCCGCCGTGAAAGAAAAATGCGAAGCTGATTATATCCGGCACATTGAGACATCGAACGTGCATAAATAAATATGCGATAACCAATTGTAGCATGTGGGAACGATAACTGAAAGAAATAAAATAAATACGCCACCTTTTCGCCTCATGCAGTCAGGGGAGCACAGAAAGGCGAACTCACACCAAGCAACCGAAACGAGCAGGCAGGCGCGATCGGGATTTGACATCCAGTTATTCGACATCCTCACATTTTCCCCTCGGTCGATGCCAGCAGCGCCTTCGCCAGATTCGACAGGCGGGAGAGGTAGTCCAAGGCGAGGACCAGGACGGGTTCGTCCTCGTCGATGCGCTTCCCGACTTGGCTGAACGCTTCGTTCAGGTACGCCTGCCAATTCAGCTAAATCCTCGGATCAGTAGCGTGTGAGGCTTCGAGTGCTAAATGAGCCTTCGAAATTAACTTACGAATGGGGCGCAGTACTGAAGCTCTCTCAGAGGCATCTTCGGGTATCGTTTCTTTTCTTTCCATCCCTCGTCATCGGGAACTGTTATGCTGGCCAAGGAGACCTCGAATTCTATCACCTCTCTCATCTGAGTTCGTATCGATAGAAGTACTTCTTTCGATGCCTCTTCTCTTGTTTCATTTCGCAGGAGAAGTCCTACCTGCGCAACGACCGGTCCCATCACATCGCGAAGGAGTTGACCGGCGCTGGTGCTGGATATCTTTCGCTTTAGACTTACCTTCGTCATGAATACCAGCAGGTCTGAAAGAACACGGTCGTCTTCGATGCTTTTATTTAAGTAGTGATCCCGTGATGGCAAACTCAATCCTCCCTGGTTAATCTACACTCGGAAAAAATAACTCCATGTTCAAAGCCCGGAGAGAGTTTCTAATAAAATATACTAGAGAAAGGAAAAAATTGGGTCGTAAGAAAAAAAGGAGCTTAAGTTTCCCAACAATCTACAATGGGAATAACTCAATGGGTTTCAACTATATATTTTTTCAAGTCGGGTACATTAAGCAGGCAATTTGCGCCTCCTCCCCTTCCCCCCAATCTTCAACGCTGCTGTCAAATTTATACTGAGAAATAAGACTGGCCTCGATTATGTACTGCGTTGAATTCCGAGCATCGACCTCAATCTTCCATTGGAAGAGTCCACCGATATTGAATCGATTGTGCATCTTCTGAACGGTCTGCTGGAAGTCCCACGTCATGGCCTGAAAATTCTCCGACGAAACGTTCCATCCCCCGAGTTCCTCGATCAGTTCCAAGAGAGGAGCGGCGCCGAGCTCCTCGATCTTCCCATCTTGGTCCATGCAGGAGGCATAATAGCGCAGAGCCTGCACCTCCGCCGAACTTCCATCGAGACTCCCGCCTCGCTTCATCAAATCATCTGCAGGTGCAGGAGGATGAAAAGGATGACATTCCTTCCACCGTTCACCGCTGCGACCGATGCAAGCATACCGAGTGCATCCCGCAAGACAAGCTGATTTTTTCGATTCAAGTTTGTAAAAGTATCCCACGTGTCCTTGCCGGCGGGCGCCGGGTTCTCTCTCGCCCAGTTGCCGCAGGCAAAGCCGTAGAAGTCCTCGCATGGATCGACTGTCAGGTCCATCGCCGGGCTCATCGATGAAAGCTTCCGGGCGCTCTCCAACTCTGATGGCAGCATTCAAATTCAGTGACTTCTGAAGGCATGGACACGTGCGAACGCCAGCGACGATGCTCGTACCTTTACTCTCCTCAGATGCCTCTTTATGCAAAGAGAAGTCGTGTAAGAAGTATACGAGCATTACAATGGCAATTAAGCATAAGCAAAGGACTCCCTGCAAGATTGCACTCTTTCCCACTCTCCCACTTCCCTACAGCAAAAATAAAAAATAAAATGGCAATACGTGAAACAAGGCTTTAAGATGCACATGTGCAAATGGAGACAATTGACAAATTACAAATTACAAATCATAAATGGAGAGGCCCCATCTCTATCATACCAAACTTACTCTGCAGAATCTGAAGTCCTGCGACTGCGATGTGAATACGTTACGATTCCGAGGGGAGACGGATGGCGCGTTGGTCGTCTCCCCTGAAAAATCAGCTTGCTGGTGAGGCTGGAGAGAAAATAATTAAGTGAAAACAAAAACGAGAAATGAAAGGGATGCAAATCCTGTATGGACAAAATAAAGGGCGTCCCGTATCAGAGAAAGAATATTGATAATTTCTTTTCGATATATTTCGATTTATATTTTACCTCGAGCATGACTGATGTGGCCTATGCCCGGATCACAGCATAGACGTTGGCTCTGCAAAAAGAAGAAAGAAGAACGCTGCAATGCAAATTCAATTATGCAAATATTTTTTATGCTTGTGTGCATTCCAGCAAAATTCTTTAAAGCTTTAGTGCTGTCAAGTGCCGATGATTAGCTGAATAATTTTTTTTCTTAAAGCAGAAAGCATTAAAAGATTGCGAGCTTCATCAGGGCGGAAGATGAGAATGGATTTAAGTAGAAATCTTTCACAAACTTGCCGATGTGATTTCTTGGAAAATTTGGATTTAATTTGGATTTCTCTTTTCTTCGTCGGCCCTTTCGAACCAACGTGAAAAGGAAATTTTTTTTCTTTTGACGGGAAAGTGCACCTTGCATGATTGCCACAGTGAGCATGGATGCTCCTATGACGTCACGCTCCTAGAATGACGTCATGCCACTTGAGTCAATCAGGCGCTTTGTGTCACCTTCTGCCGGCCATGCGCCGCCGCTGTTATCTGCAAGAGAGCCGATTAATTTACACTCAATTCAAGATTTGTTCAGCTATTTCCACACGTAGAGAGGCTACCGAAGTTTCCGGCTGTTAAGCATGGCGATCACTAAGCCTAGATCTTATAAGAACGTCCTTGCCCTTTTACCTTTTACCATGACGATGTCTGCATTTGAGAGCACTCGCTCATGTACGCAAGCATATTTACTTCCAGTAATTTGTTTTCTCATTTTCTTCCTTCCATCGACCCCTTTCAAGCTGGCACTGTTTATTCATTAGAAGTCTCTATTGTGTCAACATGAGTTTACATGAGGGAAAGAAAATCACATGTCGCGAGCTTCCAAGCTCGCCATCGAAAATTCAAACACCATGTAACGTATAGAGTAACGTGTAACGTAACGCATTCTCACTGGAAAGCGACTTCGAGGATGAATATAGAAAAACGAAATCGAACCCGCCGCCTCACCGCTCACGCTTCACCAAGGCCGAAACTGAAACTGACAAAACTCGGCTGACATCCACGCTGGCTGTGCAGCAGCGGCAAGCGCGCTCGAACGCGATTGGTGGAAGAGGCTGCAAGCCCCGCCCACGTGTGGCTTGTTTCTTTCGGCGCCGCTGTGCCTGCGAAGCACGTGCACCGAGGCAATCGCCTCCTGACGGCCTGTAGGATAAATTGTAGTCCACTGTTAATATATAAATATGATGTGTGTGATAATATATAAATTGTTCGGTTAATAAGCAATTTTACCGTATCCGTCTTATTCATAAATTTATGTGGCACGCGTTTCAATTATTTGGTGACGACCAAAGTCTTTTTTATTATTATTCTTTTCTCGTATCTCCCAGTAAATATTGATATTACTGAATTTTTCTGAACCTCTCCCGCTTAAAATTTTTTTTTTCTTTCGTGATCTTTGTATTTTTGATCCCTTCGTTTCTAGCGATTCCAATGGAACAGATTAATTTTCATTAGGA